TGATATTTATTGTTGAGAATAACACATCTCGTTATTGGTAAATTTGCCCGTCTCAGCTTAGTTCGTTTGTTAAATAGACCTGCTCAGCAACTTAACTACAGAGTTGACAGCTGGGCAGCAGTTCATGAATAATGCACACGATGAGTGATGCATTTATTTAACCTCCAGATGTAAAGAGTGTAAGTGCACGATTACAAGGCTGCCTGTTTTAAAGCTGGGCGAGTGCAGCGCTGAAGCTGGTGGTTGTTACAAAAATGATATTTTCAGAGCCCAGTTTGAGTCGTTTGGATTCACTGGAGGAGACAGAAATGACACTTTAGTGACCTTAGTGTGTTATTTCTGTAACGTGGGGAAAACCTGAAGAATAAATTCATCATTGTGTTGTTTATTTATGAAAACTGAACGTGCTGCACGTGTAACTTTCTGCTCAGCTGCGTACAGACGAGTCTGTGGACGAACAAGAGATCAGCAGATTTTATTGACAAATAAGACATTAGAAATAGAAAGATAGATAAAACTTTATTAATCCCTCGGGTGGGTTCCTCTGGGAAATTTGGTTTCCAAAAAAGCACCGACAGAAGTTACAGAGTTAAGAATATTATATATATATATATACACATATATAAATACAAAGACATATATAGATAAAATATACAAAAGGGATAAATAGAATAAATAGGAATAAAAATAAAAATAAAAATACAAGTGAATTGCACATTTCAAGTATATTGAATATCTATTGCACTGCTGATTATTAACAAAAAGTATTGCACAAAAGGTAATTGCTAATGAGATGTTTGGTGTTGTTTGACATAAATATTGTGCTGGCTATATGTTGATAATAATTAGGGTAAAATCATCATTAATTAATAGTAATAATAATAAATATATATATAAAAAAAATTCATTGTATTTAATAAACTCTGTAATTGTTTTGGTAAATTCAGGTTGGACTGTTCTCAGCCTCTTTCAGGCCCGTTCACCTCCAACAGACGATCTGTATTTTATTCTTTCTGCCATATTTAAATATTTCTCTCGATGAAACAACAGCCTGTTTAACTCTGCTGGGTTTATTATTATTTATTTATTTATTATTATTTATTTATTATTATTTATTTTTTCAGATGTGGGAACTTTGACGACTTGTTTCAGGATTATGAGACAGAAGATGGAAAATCAGCTGTTTTAATTCTGCTTATTAAAACCTGTTTAGCTTGTAACTGTAACTAATAAATACATTATTCTGAATAATGTGTTACATATATTTCTCTCTGGCTCTGCAAACAACAAACAATGATCAGCATGTTTGTTGTTTGCAGTGCCAGAGAGAAATATATGTAACACATTATTCTGAATAATGTGTTACATAGATTAATAATGATCAGCATTGTTTGTGGTTATAATGGTTATTGTTTTGCAGGAGGTAACAAAAACAAACGCCGTGTCTTTGAAAGCAGGATGTGAATAAGTAGCCGTGTTGGTGTTCAGCATGATTTCTTATTGCTGTTTGCATCTGCAGCCTCTGTGACCTTTAACCACTGCGTCACTTTGTCTTTCTTTTCTAATCCTTCCGTCCTTCCCGTCACTCACGAGTCCCACATCACCTGGTATCCCAGCACGCCCATCATAGCGATGCATCCCACAGGTAACACGCTCCTTCAGTTTATCGCCGTCACGTTTCCTAAACTCGGCTCAAGTAAAAGCCGTTAAATTCCTGAAAGAGACAAAAGTTGAGGAAACACAACAGTGTGCTGTGAATGCGAACAGCCGAGCGGTGCGTGTGTTTACACGTGTGGCGAGGGCAGACGCCCGCCCCCTCGGGAGGAAGCGATCAATGATTGAGACCATAATGCACCTCTCTGTATTCTTGCTCACACTCACGCTCACACGCCGCTGTGGGACCCGTCGCACACACACATCGTCACATGTTCGACAGCTCATCTCTCACACGTTCTCCTCCACTCCATCTTGCAGCTGTCTGCTCGATGGCCTCTCCGTGTCTCACTTCCACTGCTCAGTCGTTGGCAGCCTGCTCTGGCGCTGTCTCTCTGTATGTTAATATAGTAGCTAACCTCTCTCTCCATAGCACTGCTACCAGACAGTCTCTATGTTGATATACTGAGCGGAGTGTAGCACTCGGCTGCACAACTACTCCCCGACTGACTCCAGAGAACTGAGCACTCTTCATCTTCACCGCTGATGCTGCCACTCCGCCGATCCTGCCGGGGCTCTTCCCGTTACCGTCGGTGACACTTTGTGCCCGGCTCTCCTTTAACTTCAGCAGCAGGTGCACCCACCAAAACAAAACAACAATCATTCGGCCCGTTTTTCTATCATTTTGCTTTTAATTTGGCAACATTGTATGAATTTTGAAGCCGTTTTGCTGTAATTGGACATTGTGAGTCTCACAGCAAAAAGTAATTATCTCTAATTGGTCTGTGGGAATGATTACAGCAGTAACTTAGTTTCTCCAGTGCCCCGGAAAAAAAGCAACAACAACTGATATGAAAGGAGTAAAAAAAATAAAAGCATGACGATTTACTGTTCACTACTCCAATTGAGAAAGTTAAAAGACTCTACAGATGACCTCTGGCATCCTAATAAAAGAAGTGAAGAACTCTCATCATGTTGATTTAATTCCCCTCATCTCATCTCTTACTTGAATTACACTGAAGACCACAGAAACGAAGCTGCAACATTTAAACACCATTAAAACTGCTTGTAAATGATTCAAAACTCAATTTTCTTTAAAGGAAGAAAAACCAGAGCAGATGAATATGACACACACACACACACACACACAAGCATAAACTGCGTGCATTAAGATGTTATGCTCTGTGTGTACGGCAGTCAAGAAGACAGCCAAGTGACTCACCTCCTGCCAGAAAATGAAAGCTTACAATTAACATCGCATCCCATCATCCTCAGCTGAGCGGGCAGGCCTGTAATTGGCTGGCTGACCAGCCTGCGTGGCTTCGGGTGGCAATTTATTCTGGGAGCCGTGCAGTTACCCTGGGCGGCTAACGGTCCCTGTGCCGTAACCTGGCTGAGGCAGCGGGGACATCATTAACACTTCACTGGGCCTGCAGGACACACACCCATCATCCACTGCGCACCCCCCACGGCCACTAGCACACGGGGCAAATTGGAGGAACGGGGAAGAAATAATAATCGTAATGTCAATGCAGCCGCTCGTGGGGAGCCGGTGTAACTGATCAGTTGGCAAATTAGGATATTTTTGGTGTTTCTTAGCCAAACAACAGAGGAGGGGTTTCCAAAAAGGTGACTTTTGATTACTATTTGCAATTAAACGGAGGTCGTTCAGTTTGGGAATCCTCTGCGTTTAATCCTCGCCTTTACCCCTGGCGTGTGCGTGACGGCATGTGTGACCTCAAAACAACAAGGGCTGAATGAGAGGGAGCTCTCTACGCGGAGCAATGACCTTGCTTTGTCACGAGGGACACATGTGTTGCACGCTGCCGCACTGGTCCGAGGGCAACGCGGCGGCAGACTCTTTATGTGTCCCTTTAAAGGTCTGCATGCTGTCTGGCCCTCCACCTCTCCACCAGCGGCTGGGTGTGAAAGGAGGTGCTACACATGGCGAGCTTCATCTCTGGGAGCGTTTTAAGGATGCGGCAGACAGCTGAACTGTCCGGGCTAAACGGTGGCCCTCTTCACTCTTGGCTAACGCCATCGACAGAGTCAGTGTTTATTTTTACATCTCAATTATGTGGCGTGTTCTCAGGCTGATTTAGTGCAGCGCAGCCACTGATCTCAAGCTATGTTTCCCCACAACCCTCTTCCTTGTGTCTTCTTGGCCGGGATATTCCCATTTCACTCATTTCCTATCTCAGGACTGTGTGTCGCTCTCTGATTACACACACACACAAATGCAGGCACACAGGCTCACAGCCAAATGGCTGTTCATTAAAGACAGGGACCTGAGGGGAAGCAATCGTCTGAGAGACGGAAATTGCGTGTCACATTAGATTAGCAGTGTAAAGCCTCTGGATTGGCTCGAGGGAATAAGGAATTATTTCAATTACATTATTTCAAAAAGTCTTTAAGCAATACCAATACCGATAAAAACAAATTAAGAGTGATTTGGGCTGATTTGTGGCGCTCTGAGCTGTTCTTTCTGACAATGTGCTGGAAATCAGATATGAATAATGTAGATATTACGCCGCGCGTAATGTGTTGGACTTGAAAGCAGATTATCTGTGACAAATAATACCATTGGTTTGCGCTGTGTCTCATCAAAAGGGAATATTCCCAAGTGTCAATCACGCGGGCTGGCGACTGTACACGCTCAGTGAGCCACGGAGGAGCAGATAACTCATTTACCTGCCATTCAAAGCAGCGCCGCACGCGCTCGCTCGCGCGGGCGCACAGACAGCGATGAGTTGGTGAACTTAGTATATAGCACTAATGCACTGAAAGCAGCGGAAAAGTTTAATTTTGCTGCATGCATGTCCTTCATAAACGCAGATTGATGTGTCGACTCTGAGAAGAAGCGCAGGTAACCGGATATTCACGAGTTTGCAGTGAAAGTTACCACGTTTGATATTCGCAGATATAATCTGACACTTTTAATCCCTCAAGTTCTCTTCTTCACCCACCCGCCCCACTCTGTGGGCAGCTGATAAGTGCATTTTTCTTTTGACTCAATTTCACTGTAACTCACCTGAAGCGAGGACGAGAAATTGAATGTGTCCATCGCGCGCGGCGTGTCTCAGGGGGAGAGCGCGGAGGAGAGAGGGGTGGGGGGGACGAGGCTACAGAGAAAGAGGGCAGGGTAAAGTGGAAAGAGAGGGGTGGAGGGGGGATTGTCACGCAGAGCGCACAGACCAACAGAGACAGACCGACCCGCAGCCAGTCCACTCACTGACGCCTCGATCCTGCGCAGGAACAGCAGCTACGCGCCGCGTCTCAGCCTTAACTCGTAAACACAACATCTGGAGGAGGACAGAAAAAGCCAACGCCGCCCGCAGCTGCAGGTCTTTCTCTCTCATTCCTGCGTAACCGGGAGAAAGTGCCGCGTCCTTGAAATTCACTGTAACTTGGAAGAAGTGAGGAAGAGAGAAAATAAATCTCGCTTCGAGTTCTTCATCACGGTAAGTGCTGACGGACGCGTCGCGATCATTCCGGTGATTACGCCTTCATTTGGTTTAATTGGTTTAATTGGCTTTTTGATTGCCACGTGTTCTGGTGTGAGCTTTTGTTGTGTGTGTTTGTCTAAAGTTAGGGAACTTGTGAGCTTACTGAGAAAAAAAAAAGCCACTTTTATAACACACTCGTGGAAAGACTTGGAAAACGGTAGGAGGCTAATTCCTGGGATAAACCGGGGTCACGTTTGGACTTGCGCTCGAGCAGAAAGTGCGAGGCGCAGAAAAACTGTCAGTAATTTGCAACATTTCGTCTGAATTTCGCCAGTTTGTTCATTTAGGGGCTTTTTTTGTTTTTAAAAAATTAAGTCGTTTTGTTCCTCTTAAGTGTCCCGACTTTTATTTTGTTTTTGGTGAATTTTCTGAACAGTTTTGCTTCTGATGTAAGAAAAAAGTGGTTGTTTGGGCCCAAACCTTTTTCTGTTTGAGGCCTCATCGTTTCATATGAAGCGCACTTTGTCAAACTTCTCAGTAACTAAAGCGGGTCAGTCTTTATTTACTTTGTGCCTCAGAACAAAAAAGAATAAAAACAACAAAAATATTCCTAGAATTTAATTTTACCGGACACATTTGTCTTCATTTCTTCTCATTCCAAGTCAAACAGTTCATTACGACTGAAAGCAGAAGGAGAAAAAGAATCGTCGTCTTTCCCAAACGCGTTTTCATGATTTCCTTAATTTAATCGCTCAGACTTCGCTATGAAAACGACGCTTTGCAGGCTGCAGCTACGTGTGTGTTTTATTGGCAATTTATTCCCGTCGTAATTCTTTACAGGCGCAGTAGGCCTCCTCAAACCCACGTTTCTGCTGAAATTAGTCGAAACCTGTAATTGTAAAAGCAACTGGGTGTATTTCACAAAATGAAGAAATGAAGATCTCGTCATTAAAGACGACATCAAACAATTTCCTGTAAATCTGACAAAATGAAATAATTTTCTACCCAACAACAGTCACTGAGAATCATTTCTGCTCGTGTCTCATCCAAACACTTTTCTCTCTCCTCTCGTTTTGTCTCCTCAGAACCAGCATCGAGGAGGTGAATGGACCTCCACCGCCCCTTCAAGATGGACAGCCCCTCCTACCTCCCGGCTCCGCTGGCGTCCCCTGCCCTGATGGTCCTAGCTTCCACTGCAGAGTCCGGCCGAGACGCCTCCGTCCCCTGCCAAGCGCCGCGGCCCTTCGGCGTCCCCGTCTCTGTGGAGAAGGACCTCCACCTCCCCTTCCCTTCAGCCTCCTACACCTTTACCTCCATGTATCAGCGCCAGGGCCCCATGTCGGGCAGCTTTTCGTCCCGAGACTTCCCGGCCTCCCTGCTCCACCTGCACCCACAGTTCACCCCACCAAACCTGGACTGCTCCACCCTGGGCATGCTCAACCACAGCGGCGTGGGCGCCTTCCGGCCTTTCTCCTCGCCTCAAGACGAGAGGGAGTCCGGGGGTTACCAGTCTGCTTTCACCCCCGCCAAGAGGCTGAAAAGCTGCTTTCCAGAGGTGGAGGGGAAGGAGTTTGACTTCGGCTCCCTCGGAGGCTCCCTCAAAGCTGGGGAGGAGTCGGGGAGGAAGCTGTTCTCCATGTCCGGCCTGCTGTCTGATGGCGAGGCTTCATCGAGCCCCGAGGAGCGCAAAGAGCACAGTGAGTGTTATGTTTGCACAATTCTCCCAGCTCGTCTCTAAAGAGCAGCGCAGTCACTCGTCGGGCGTCTTTAACGTTTGCAGCGTTTAACCAGCACATCAAAGGCTTTGCTCGCCCTGACATGACAGGGCCAATGAGGGTAACATGTCCTCTGCAGCTGCATCCACTAAAGGTGACAAATTGAAAGGAGCGTTTGTGAGTAAAAGCATATCTGAAAACATTTCCCCCTTTTGCACTTTAGTCGTCAGCATGTAGTCGGGCGAAGCGTTCACAGGCGGCGACACAAATAAATTGAACGGTGTCACTTATTCAGCTCAGTGATCATTAGCCACATATGACCATTAGTCCTGTTGGAAGTCAGATTTCTCTCGGCGGCTGAGGAACACAAATACACGGGAGCGTGTGGAGGGTGAACACGGGAGGAGTGAGAGTTGGAACGAGTGACACCCTGTCAGAGATAACGAGGTGGCAGAGATAGAGAGGAAGGGATGGAGGAGGATGCAGAAAAGAGAGAGGGAGACGTGGCGATGCGCCTCAGCCTGAGCTTCCCTACGACAACCCTCAGCTCAATATGGCCGCCCACACCAGCCGTCTGATTTGTTGACAAATGAGTGGGAGAGGTGTCAGTCAGCGCGCCGCAGAGGGAGAGACGCTCCTCATTACTCCCAGGGATAATTGCCCAACGACGCGGGGGCACAACACTCGCCTCAGAGGCAGCGGGGAGGGAGTGAAGGAGCCCGAGTCGGGGAGGCAATGCTAGGCATGATGGGAAATCAAACCCCCTCAGTGGCGGTCGCCAAAGGGGAGCGCCTGACAGATGAAAGGGAGCAGGGAGGAGAGAGAGGAGAGAGCACCCAAAGGCTCAGCAGATCAGAGGGGGACACCATCGAAAATAATGACAATGAGAGGGAGCTGGGGGTGGGGGTGAGACGGAGGGGGAGACACGCTCTCATACATTTCACCTAAAGGAAACTTTCATCCCACACATAAAGGGCGGCAGCGGGGACGAGTTGTCTTAAGAAAAGTTTGGCTTGTGTGTCTCTTTGCATATGCGCTCGTCTTTGTGCAAACTTGCTGATTTTGTCGTTGGCTGGTAGCTGAGTGACAGGCCGGGGGGGCGGAGTGGCAGCGAGGAATCTCAATATGGAATTTTAATAAGGACAGGGAAAGACGAGATGCCAGGCGGCGCGCTGGTGTGAGAGGTGTGTCTGTGTGACAGCGTTTGCTCTGCGCGCTCGGGCGTGCGCGCTTACCTCCTGATTTTGGGAATCTCATTTGGGGAATGTCGACAAGGACAAAAGACGGGGTCGGCTGGAACACGGCGAGCAAAGGAAAAAATGGATTCATGCACGTTGGAAGCTGCTTTTCCAGCTTTATCCAATTAGATTGGAGCTCGGGCAAACTAAGAGCCTTAATGCAATTGAGCTCCAGCACTTTCCTAAGTCTGACATACACTTGTTCCTCTTGACTGGGTAACAGACAGTCACTTCAGGACCAAAAGTCTTAAGTGTTAAGCTTGAAATCTTCTTTGGGAGAGTGTCTGCTGCTCGCACAGCGGCCGCAGAAACTCGCAGAAGTACGAAGCCGACCATAAAATCCTACCTTTAGAGTTCGCTTCTCTTTAAATCTTTAACATCTTCGGCCCTTTGTGCTGAGACCCTGTGTGGCTCCACACCTGAATATTTAACCTGGTCCTGTAAACATTTATGTTGTCAGAGTAACTAATGGCTTTTCCCTGTGTGACATTTCTCCTCAGTGTTTTCCATCAGCAGAAAGATCTGCAGGAATTTGTGGCGCTGTCTCCAGCAGCACAGGTGACCACGCGTTTTGCTTCTTTGTCAGTCCAGACAAGCGAGCGGCTACCCCGCACCTCTCCCCACCTGCCTCGCCTGTCACTGCCATCGGCCACCTCTTCTGTCCATTTAGTGTCTTCCTCGTGTCGATTTCCCCTCCCAGGCTCGCCGCTGTTTTATCAGGAAGGTCTGAGATGCACGGTGCGCTCTGACAGCTGTTCAAACAGCCACGCTGCCTTTCAAAGGGCAGATGTCTTCACTGGAGCGAGTCGTGCTTATTTTCCTCAGGGAGACGCTTCCCAGCGCAGGACTGAGCTGGAACTAAAACGCTCCTTTACCAGAAACATGAGTTTGGGAGACGGAGGAGGAGAGTGGCAAAAAGCACGCCAGGGCCAGATGTGTGTGTGCGTGCATGCATGTGTGTGCGTGCATGCGTGTGTGTGCGTGCATGCATGTGTGTGCGTGCATGTGTGTGCGTGCATGCATGTGTGTGCGTACGTGCGTGTGCGTGCATGTGTGCGTGCATGTGTGTGCGTGTGCGTGCGTGCATGTGTGTGCGTCTCACAGTGGTGGCAAAGCTCAGTGACAGCTGTGATGATGGGAGCCAGATGTGTGAGAGCACCGGTGTTGTGTGCAGCACTTAAACGGTGGATTCAGCTGCCAGAACATCTTCACCTGCAGACAGAATATTAAAAACAAAACTTTTAATTAAACTTTTATTTGGTAAATAAAAAACGTCCTTGTCAGGTGTAAATCTTTAGCACTGTTTGGTGTATTTCACAAACGGCTCCAGCTGCATGTTTACTTGTGTCAGGTTGGAAAAATGATGAATGAAAGCCTAAACGACCTCCTGAGCGAGCACCGAGTCTGCATACAGGAAGGGCCACACTCGGCCGTTGAATGAGCCGCGGGAGGCGTTACCCTCACTCTGAAGAGAGTCTCACCTGCGTGAAACGATGTCCCGCAGGAAGGTATCAGCGGGGAAACATTTAAGCGTCACACACTCGGAGGAGTCTCCACCAGATGCGCTCAGTGTGCAAGTGTCCTCCACGGTTGGTTACTCTCGGGTTGTTGGCACGCCGCGCGGCTCGAGCAGGATCGATATTGGCCTTAGACGTGGCGCGCGGCACACGATGGGTTTGAGCTCGTTCCAGACGAAGCTCATCTGCTGCTGTTTGGGTGAATTTATCATTTCTCAGGAAGTGAATTAAGGAAGCTGGTGTTGCTTCAGTCATGAAAACATGAATGTCGTCAGCTTCTTCAGCCACGAACGCACATTTTTAAAATGTCCTTATTGTGCATCATGTACACGTGCATTACACGTTCACACGTCTACCTCTCTCGTAGCTGTTTCTGCTGATCTGATAAGAAGGACTCGTGTGTTTGGTGTGCAGCTGTCATTGAAGGCTGTTCACATCGAGCTGAGCTTCTCGTTGAACGATGCAGTGTTTACATCCCCCAGCAGACCTCAGGAGATCAATAGCAGCCACTCAATGCTCATGCATACACATATAGTACCTGCTATAATTCCCTGTGTGTGTACTCTTATCTGGCAGACGAGCATATGGACTGCATGCACCAACAGTCACGCTAACCTCATGCGTCAGGGTTCGTTCTTTGTTTTTATGGCTCTTTGCTGTGATTTTGTTTTTCTGTGAGAAAAGTTTATTGCAAAAATAAGAATGTGTAAAAATGCAGAAGAAATAGGAGGCAGGAAATGAAGAACTAAAGGAAAAAAGACCAAATTTATTGGAAAGTACGGTAAAGAAAAAAGTAGCATCATTTTCTCCCGTCTGAAAATAAAATAAAAAATAAAAACGTCACGGGGCAGCACAGAAAGGCTGAGTCTGTTTAACGTTGCGTCGTGTAAGCACTTCACACGCTGACCACGCTGCAGTCTTGTTCTTGATTTTCGGCGCTCGGGGAGGAAGCATTACAATATTAATGGCGGCTGCGTTTGATGTGAGAGCACGCCGTGGTCGGCTGTTCCCCCTCCTGTTGTGATGGTGGTTTGTCCTCCTAATGTTCTCCCAGCTAAAGGAGGCTTTCATCCTGGCAGGAGGGGAAAGTCTTCTCAGCTCTTTTTGTTCCTTCTCTCCGTCGTATGAAGTCGGGAAGCAGCGAGTTTGTCCTGGTGTAGACGTGCGCTGTGTGGTCCTGTATGTGTTTGTGCATGTGCAGCGTTTGTGTGTGTGTAGGCGTCCTCTACACATGCCAGCGTCTTCAGGAGGC